CGAAAGAGGATGCTTGCCTCCCTGAGTGTGGCCTTCATAATTCCATTCCATCACAAATAGTCTCAATAAGCCTTCCAGTCCCACTATGAGCATATAAGCAATTCCTTACTTGAGTAGTCTCTGAGTAAGGTTTTCCAGTGTGAAGAACCAGCTCTCTTCCCTGCATGGGCAATAAGCTGAGTTCTGGCTGGGCAGCATAGTAGGGTGGGGGCATTTGTTTATACAGGCCTGATAAAGGTAATCCAGCAGATGCTTTCTCCGTAGGCTTCTTCTTGTTGTCGTCATCCTCTGGCATAACCTTCTTCTCTACCTTCCTTTTCTTCAGAGCAGCCTTTATGCTCACAGGCACTGAGTCTGCAGACACTCATACTCTGCCACTGTGGCTTTATCACAAGGAGGCTGGTGTTTCCCCTTCACCATAGATAGATACTTATCTTAGATACTTTTTCTCCCTGGGCTGATAGGAGATAAGATGAGCTCACATATCACACTATGCTGTAATGTTTGGTTTTGGCTTAGCAAACCTAACCCACAGATTTGAGGTTTATTCAATAAATTGTAATGTGGCTAGACTTGTTCTTGAATGATCCATACTGACTTGTAGTAATTATATCAGTTTCAAGGAGCCTACAGACTGAATGATTTATAATGTGTTCTAGAATCTCCTGGATATTTATGTATTTCTGTCTGGTCTGTAGTTCTCTGGATCCATTCATTTACCTTATATAGACACAGTCACTCCTTCAAGATCCAGCTCCTGTTCTCTAGGATTTTTCAAATATAACAGGTAGAGAATGTCTACATCCATTGTTAAGTTCTTCAGTTCCTGCAGTTCTGCCGCTTCAGGATGCTCACAGTTTTCACCTGTTCTTCTAAGAGAAGATGAACCAAATTAGAAGCTGAGCAGATCCACTAACCTCCTTGTCATCTAGTGTTTTCGCTGAACAGCTAGTTTACTTCTATTTTTTATTTTAGCTTATCTTGCCAACTTGAGCTCATTTTTGGCTTTAGTCTTTTGGAGGGTTTCTGAAATTCCAGACTATTTGCTTGTCCTATTCTTTGTTCTGCATGTGCTGTTTCTGTGGAGCTTCACTCTCCAGTTAGTTGTGCCTCCTTTTTTAGGAACCAAGTTGAGACCATGTTGAACTCTTCTTCTCATTAAGTCTTCCTGCCACAGATACTATTTTTTATTGCTTTGGATTTATTAAGAGCACCTTCCCTAAAATCATATATATATATGCTGGCTTTAGTTTTCCTTTAAAAACAAAGAACTCTAGTATCACATAGTCTCACCTAATTATTCCCTATTGATCAGAATCAAGTCAATAGTGGCTCTCATTTCTTGTTTTACTGTTTGAAGGGAAAGGTGTCAATAATTTTCTGAAGATACTGTGAGTTACCTCTCATAGTATCAAAGTGGCATTGACTGTACTTGTGGATGATTTCTGGGAAGCCTGGGATGGAGTGCTATGGCTCACCTCATTTTGTTTGATCTTTTGACAGCTTTCAGTTCCATCAATCATAGTATCCTTCTGGGCTGACTCTAGAGGTTGGGAGTGGGGAGGCTCTGTGTGGCAGTGGTTCACCTACCTCTGGGTCAGTTCCAGTTGGGATGGGTAGTAAGGAAGAAATTGAGACAAAGCCTCTTGTTTTACAGGGTTGTTTGGGGCTCAGCACTTTCTCCACTCGTATTTAACATGTACATGAAACTGCTAGTTAAGGGTATCTGTTGGCACATGGTCAGGTATGAGCAATATGCAGATGATATCCAGTGCCTGGAAGATGTCTAAACCAATGTTTCTCAACCTTGGCTGCTTTAAGCTGTGTGGACTTCAGTTCCCAGAATTCAATTCTGGGAATTGAAGTCCACATAGATTAAAGCAGCCAAGGTTGAGAAACACTGGTCTAGATTGAGAGGAACAGGCTCAGGCTCAACCCTAGCAAAACTGAATAGCTTTGTTTTCAAGGACCTTCTAGTTGTAGAGATATACCATCTTTATTTTCTTGATGGGTTGCATTTCCCCAGGCATAACTTGAGTGTAATTTGTGGGTTCTTCTGGACTTGTAGCTGTTACTCAAGGAGCAGGTGGCAGTCATGGTTAGGAGGGCCTTTGCTCAGATCTATTTTGTGTGCCAATTATGATCTTATCTAAACTAGCAGGTCCTTGTCACAGTTACTTACACCTTAGTCACCTCCCATGACCACTACTGCAGCAATACTGCGGTACATGTAGCAGTCCTTGAAGACCACTGAGCAGGTACAGCTAGTTCAGAGTGCAGTGGTACAAGTACTTATAGGTGTTTCTATTCATATAACACCACCACTTTGAAAGCTGTCCTAGTTGCCAGTTGACTTCCAGATGCAATTCAATATGGCAGTTGTCATCTATAAGTGGGTTAGGACCTGGATACCTGTGGGCCCACCTTTTTCTGGTTGTTTGGGAAAATCTGGCAGAGTTGGCTCACTCCTGGTTCTATCAGTAAAGTAGTGTTATCTGGCATGGGCTCCTCTGTGGCCATTCCTACCTCTGGAACTGCATTCTGCCAGAAACCTCTTCAGCCCAAATCCAGCTGTGCTTTTGTAAAGCCTCAAAAACCTATTATGATCCTTCTCCCTGAGGTATGTCTGTATGGTTTTGTAATG